TAGTGACAACTCATGTTCCCGTAAAGGAAGTGGTTTGCACGGAGTATAATGGCAGTAGTCATCTAACCGATGCTCTATACAACTGGTGGAATCTCCATCGCATGAGGTTTTCTGTCTTTTCTGCTGTGCAATAGCGAAATTAAGCTTGTACTTATAATCAAAGTCTCTTTAGTTTTGATTATTTCATTAGATCAGTTTTTTGCTGAGTTTTTAGTATGTAGTATACAGACTGAAATAATGAGAGGATGTGATATGTATTTATTTTAGCCTTCCTTGAGCTAATTGAAATGGATTTGCCCTCGCTACGAGCAAAGGACAATAATTAAACAGCGATAGGTCGATCCAGATCGAACTCGGCTGTGAAGCTATCCGGCATGCGATACTCTTCCATTCCTGATAGCCATTCGATTCCACATAAACCTCTTGTAGGATGCGAATCCTTAACTCGTAGCCCTCATGATAACTCCTACATGGACCTAGTGCTATAGCATTGTTCTTCAACTGACTGAGATTTGCTTACCTTGTGAGAAGTAATAATTTACTTAGATTCCCGTAACCCTTACTCAAGCACATCTCTAATGAAAACATGTGAATCTTGCATGATCTTTATCTACTAAAAATAATGTTTAATCGTTTTATTTGTCTAAACATAAAAAACAATAAGAAGAATATTTGCATAGAATTCTCTTTGAAAATGCTGCTTATCACTCTCGCGAAACTTTGCGAAGTGCTCGAAGTCCTCCAGCATTTCTAATTTCAGCCATTAGATTGTCGCGTACATCAGGCGTTATTGCACGTGTCCCACCCTGCATTGTATTTGATAATTTAGATCAAATGAGTCAGATTTAGTTACTAACCACAGCTGGAGCTCTCAACTTTGTTCTTTCACTCTCCAAATCCTGTTTTGACACTAGCGAGGCTGGGTGGGATGAAGAGGGATGCTTATTCGCATTCCTGCAAATTGTAGTTTGGTCATGCCAAAATTCAAAATAGCCTCATACAAATAAATAAGATTAGCAAAAAAATGAGGAGAGGAACCTAGACGAAGA